GCTCTAGTTAAATTCAAGGCCTCCTTAAGGACATTAGAGAGACCCTATCTCAATCAGTAAGAGGAGGCTGGTAGCCAGGGCAACTGGCCTCAGATTTGTATTCCTGGTACTTTAAGACCAGAGAGAGGATGACCTCAAGATCCCGGTTAGCTTTGTTTGTATTCTGCATTTTATTTCAGCCAGGACACCAAAGACAGTCCATTAATGAAACCCAAATGCCCACTTAAAATCAGTCATGAGATGGTGGCGGGGAACAAAGATTTAATGGACTTCTTGTGGATCATACAAGTGGCTTCAGCCCTCACCACCGACAAATGAGGAAAAAAGTGAGAAAGACAACCACGGTATATAAAATGTTTGAAAAAAATAAGACCACATTCTGCTACCCAGTGGGGCAACTAAAAAAAATCAAGAGGCGAATAACCAGTGCTGTTGAGGAGCGAGAGAAAAGGGAAGCTTCTAGAGTGTGGGTGGGAATATCACTTCATGTCCTAGGTAATGAAGGAACTGATTAGAAAAAGAACCCAGTCCAGTAACTCCATTTCAGAGTTTACGTAGCAGTCCAGTTTTACACTGCAGTCCTGTAGCTCCATTTCAGAGTTTACATAGCAGTTCAGTAAGTCCATTTCAGAGTTTACTTAGAAGGGACAGAGGACCGGAGGGGAAAGAGGTTTTTGTCACCCCAGGGAACAACAACCCCACCCAATCGCCAGGAGGCAAAAGCAACCCTGAACTCCTAAGAGGGGAGATTCTAAGGCAATGGTGTGGTGTGCTGATTCAATGGGGTGACACTGGGACCCGAAGGGATCTGAGCAACAGTAGAAACTACATCTGAAATACCAGAAAGCTGTGACAAATGAGGCAGAAAAGGACATTGAGCTCAATCCCAGGAGCCTTTAGAGTTCTCCTGTTTCACAAGGAAGAAGATATCCAGGTCTGCAGGGGAAGAAAGGGGGAATTTTGATACAGTTTGTCAAGAGGAACAGACTTCTAGAGCCCTGTGAGACAAACCAAAAAAATTCTTGACTCTGCAGAATTCTAAAGCATCAGAACAGTTTCATTCCAACACGTTTTCATTCATCCATGTCACTCCCCAGTTGAAAATGAAGAGCAAGAATGTCAGAAGCAGTAAGCACACCTGTTTCCGGTCACCACCACAAAGAACTTCCCCACTCCAGTCATGGGGGAGAAGCTACCTGTGGTTTGGAAATGAACGGGGACAACAGGGCCAAGAAGGGGTAAAGGCCAGGTCAACATAAACATTAGCCCCTGAAGGTCAGGGTGCCTCCTGGTGTCAGCACATACCTTGTGAGTACATCCGGGTACTGGGTTTCTTGGAAAACAGTCTCCATTTCCCACACCTGCCACTGTGTGAAGTGGAACTGGATTCGGGGTCGGCTGCGCCGGCGCCTTGGAACCTCAGTCAGCTCGAGGGCTGGCTCCTCTGGATCCACCTCCATGGGCTCCTGGCTGTTCTGGTCACCTTCGGGACCCAGGTTATCGTAAGGGCTCATGTGGTCCCCCTGGGTCAGGTTTTCCTGTTGGTTCTCACTGTGGTCCAGGCTCAGAGCTCCTTCACAGAAGCTGCCCCCCACTTCAGCTGCTGCCCCCTGTTCAGGGCGGGGGCTGCCGTCCTCTTCATAGTCCTCCATGTGAGAGTAGAAGCGGTCACTGTAATTATAGAGGTGCGCCATGGCCGCTGCTGCACTACAGAAGCCTAGACACTTGCACCTTGCTGGAGCCTTTGGCAGCAGCCTTGCCCTGGGGGCTTTCAGCAGGATGGGGCTACAAAGGCTCAGGTGCTCCTCCTGCAAGACCACTATTGGCTTTCTAGCTGAATCCTACCCCAGTGGGTGTGCCTGTGTGGTGAGAATGGGCTAGGGCGTGGTCCCGAGGATGGGGTAGGGGGAGAAAGGGAATGTGCAGAAGCTGAATTTTACCCCTAGGATATCTGCTTTGATCTGTCTGCATCCCAGGCCACTGCTCGTAGACCCTACAGAAGACCAGGGGAAAGGGCTACTGGAGGTTGCAAGCTGATTTTAGCCTGGGGAGTGCGGAAGAGGGAAAAACTCACAAGGAGCCCCCGAGAGTGGGGGCTCTGGCATTAGTGAGTCCAAATACCCAAGGGAAGTCACTAGAAACACAGCATGGTGCCTTCAGGAGGGAGTGCGATTTCAAGTTTGGCTAGCTGGGAGAAGCTGTTTACAGGATTTCCTCAGTGAACAGCAGAAAGTCTTTTCTCCTAAAGTATCCATGAGAGCTCGTTCCCTTAGACACAGATCCCAGCCATCCACGTGCAGTCCGTGGGTGGGAGACTCGGAACCCTTCTGAACACGTGCTTACCCAGACGCCCCCCAATCTCTGCCCATGTTTGGTAAAGGCGCGCTCTCACAGACCCACTTGACCCGGTCCCTTGCGCAGCACCGCGAGCTACAGAAGAGTGGCGCCACATCTAATTGATAGGCAGGCCAGTCAGAACCTGAGGCCGGCATGTGGTCACCTGGAGCATGTCTCAATAGGCTCTGTCCCTGCTGCTGGATACACGTGTGTGGCAATTTCCTCCAAGATAAGGCGTTCCATGTGGGAGGAAACCTCCTGGAGATATTAGACATTCCAGATGGAGGTGAAACAGTTCAGAATCCAGGAGAGATGGTTAAGACACAAGGAGTAAAAGGTTAGGCCGCTTCAGCAGGGCGCAGTAGGGGTTTGTTCAGTCGGGGTTTCCTCCTGTCTCCCCAGGAAGCGCGTCAGCAGCACACCTCAGTGTCACACTGAGGACTATAGGAAGAGAATCTGAAATCGGCTGAGGCAGAAGCGGCCATCTATAGATTCAGTTCAGGGAGCATCAGTCCCTGGTGAAATGCCACTGGGTGTGGCAGCAAGGCTCTCGGGCAGGTCCGCAGAAAATATGTGGTACCTGGAACACTGGTGTCAAGTACCCAAATGAATCTCAAGAAAATAACCTTTTGCTGGGACATCCATTATGTCTCCCAGGTCCTCGGTGAACCCCCTTCGTCTCTTTGTCTCTCTGTCTCTGTCTCTCTATCTTCTTCTGTCTGTCTCTGTCTGTCTCTGTCTCTCTTGCTCTGTTTCTCTCTTTGTGCTTTCCCAGGTTGGTCCCCACCATAAGTTCTTGCTGATTATCCCAAGATAAAAATGATTACAAAATACCATCATGAAGTCAGTTAGGAGAAGGGTCCTGGTGGTAGTGGCAGCTGCCACAGTGGGGTGACAGGGTGGGGGAGGGGTCAGGAAGAAGAAGGAGAACTCCTCACTAGTGTTGGAACTCTACTTCCTATGGAGAAACAGTTGAAGTTGGAAGGAGCTGGGAGCTCAGCTCTCCAGAGACAGTATGAAGGAAGCCCCAGGTAACCCCTGCTTCCACTCCTCCCTTAAAAGGCTGACAGTGCTTTCAGTTCTTTCCAATTCCCCAGGCACTACAGGATGAGCAGTGAGCAAAAGGAGCCCTGCACAGCCTGGGGGCAGGGGCTGTGCTCTGGCTCCATTCCTCCTCCTAGAGTCCCTGCCCCCTCTTCCTGAGCAAAGACAAACAGGGGATCCAAGGCAGCTGTGCCTGCCAGCTTTGTACAGCACCGTGGCCATCATGTCCCCTGCTCAGCTCATCGCAGGAGGTGACGGTGAATAGCTGCTCACCCAGTTGGCCAACGTGGGGCAGCCCGGAAGACATTGGGGAGCAGACAGGTCTAAATGTGACATCTCTATTCTACCCCTTTGTCACAGGCATAGGGATGTGAGGAAGACTGCTGGAATAGTCTTAGAGCCAGGACCAGTGTCTACCTGTGCCAAAATAGTATTTCCTAGATGTGAAACGGGGAGACCTCAGGTTAGGGCTGTGGGCCCACCCCTAGTGTAACTGATACCTGCTACTACAAGAAGGCTTCTCAGATCATTACACCGGGCGGCATCTTAGAGACCCAAAAGCTACACAGCACAAATCTGTAGCAGAAGAGTTCCCTGGTGCACTCAAAGAAACCCAGAGAAAACAGAGAAAACAGGACAGGAGACCAGGCATTGGGACCCCGCCATGCAGCAAGTTTGGATTAGTAGCCTAGGCCATACCTCTGCATGTCGCTAAGTTGAACTTGGTTTATTGGGACCTGCAGGTTCACATAGGGAAAGAAGGCGTGTTCCTTCCTCATGTGCTGACGCACGGCTAGGGGTTCAACCTTGTTTACTAATATCATAGGACTGCTAGGAAGAAAAGACTCCTAAATCTTGAGTACCGAGGGTTCTCCGAGGCAGGTGACAAAATGCAGCAGAAGCCACAACAGTCAAGGTCTCTGAGTGCAGGTCTGGCTGGGAGGATATGTTCCCTGAGCCGGAATGGAAGAAAGGAGACAGAATCCTCCCTCTGCCTGGGTGGATGGCTTTGCCTCTCTCTTTCAAGCAGCAGGATTCTGGGCAGTGTGCCTCCTATTGCCCCGAAGGCACAGAGAGGGAGGGAAAGCACACACAGTGTTCTCATTCCCCCTGCAACCAACCTGGGAGACCTCTTTTGGAAGTTTCCAACAGAGCCCAAGGTGGGACTTACCAGAGTGTGGGTGGTAACAACCATGTCTAGAAACACAATGTCCTGCATTGGGGATTTGCCCTTTCTGCCCTTATAAAGAACTTGTCCTACAGTGATAAGGCCAGTTGACAAGTCCATGAAGCGGGGCAGAGAACCACGTAGGGTCAGCATGAAGCAGCCTGGCACCTGGAAGTCTTCCTCCCTTTGCAGCTTGCCCATGACACCCCGTGATTTAAATGCCATTTCTGGAATAGACTAGTATTGTTCAAATACTCATACCCCCAGTTTGGTAACCTCAGAAAACAATGGAGCCAACGTGCTGAGAATACACCTCTTTATTGCTGAAATAAATGCAGGGAAGGAAAGGTTGTCATGGCCATGGTGGGTGGCTCAGACATTAGGGGCAGGGGTAGGCTCCAGGAAATCTTGCTCCAGGACAGGGATGGCACTCAGTGCTACTCCGGAATCTTCAGGCATCGTTGTTCTCGGGTCCAGGGAATGTATCACACAGCACCAGCAGTCTAGTATTCCTCCGGTAAACGGCTCTCCTGTTCCTAAACCAATCCTGCAAGCAGAAGACAGGGCTGTTTTACTACACTGAACTGTATCATGGCTGAAGAGCGCATGCTGGAACTTCGTATACTGGCTCAACTTGGCTAACATTTTATGACATATTTGGAACCCGTCCTGGGCCTGGTGTACGCTAGGTGTGTCTCTAGCACCGAGCTAGTCTCCTAGCAAAGCTCCAAATCTTTGACTGCCTAGAAACTCCATGTTTATTATGTAACCCCAAGAAGGGCTGAAGAAGTACCTCAAGTGTATACTGACTGCTCAGAAGGCTGGAAACAACATGTTTCTTTCTCACTGAAACACTAAAAACACCCCCTGAGTATCCCGTGGGGACACACGTAAGCCACACCCAGACCTTCAACTAAGGAACAGACCAGGAATATTGCCGCTTCTCTCCATCAATTGATATTTTTTGGTTGTGGGCCTACCCTTTAAAGACCTACCTCTCTCTCCAGCCCACATCAATTGGTATTTTTAATGCATTCTTTCAGGAAAGGATGCATACCTAGCTTGTGGTTTCCTGATGGTCCCTGCAGGATCAAAAATTATTAAGAAGACTTCTCTTGGACCCCTGAGGATACATAAAGGCCTGAGGCAGTCTGTCAACGTTTCCACCACGCTAGCATTTGTTAGTTTCCAGAATGCAGATTTTATGAGACAAAGGGCACTTCTTCCGGCTCTGCTTCCGTCTTAGCCTCCCAGCACAGTGACTACTGGCCTTTTCCCTCGTGGGCATGTGGTCTGGAAAAGCCAGGGGTGCTTGGAATGCTGATCAGAGTGCACACGCATCACCAGCAAAGGCAGGCAAAGGTGCTAAGAGCAGTTTGAGGTCTCTGGGCCCAGTACTGGTTCAGAACTAAGCTAGGCCTCTGCCACTAGAGCCTAGAGCGAGGAGAAGTCTGAGAAAGGGGTTTCTGAGACATGCAGTGTGACAGAGCTGAAGGTGGGCAAGAACGTGGTCTCATCACTTAGGTGAGGCACGTGGGCTGCAGTCTCTAGAAGATCATGGAGAACACAGTCCGTCCGTGTTCTCCGCGGGGCAGACAAAGCACCTTGAAATCTCAGTGTTTCAGGTGTCCAGCTGGACATGTCCTACCTGAGAAAATGGAGGTCTGGTGTCTTCCTGAACCTAGCCTGGCTGTGTATTGCTCTGGCATCCTTGGGATGCAATTTCAGGGTCCCACTCTGCTCCTACCCGTCTTCTAGGCAGAAACATCACAAGATATGAAGCCCTTCCAAAAGTATACTTTAGAATACTGACCTGCACGTCGGCTTCTGGCACACCCAGCCATCTTGCAAGATCCTTCCTGAAGTGAAAAGATTTCAACATTTAGGCTTTGGTTAGAAATGAAGGATATACGGACATGTGCCACGTGCTTTTTAAACGCTTAGGTCCACACTATTGTGTGTGCACATGTGTACACACACACTATTCTTCATACTTTCTTTGAGACTAGCTTTTAGCAACAACTTTCCTTCAGGGACCACAATTAAGGGTAATCCCCCAAACACAGATTCCTAGTCGATGTACTTAACATAGAAAACTGAAGGCAGAGCCTGTACGATGAAAAAGTCTTAGCAAAATCTTAAACTGAGATGGGATCCGTCCCACACATTTTCCCAGCCACACCTTCAGCTTCTTTCTCCTATTTAAAGACTCATTTAGGACAAACATTGATTAAATGTCCCACTCACGTGTCCCTTAAACGCGTAAAATGCACATCCCCCTACTCCAGAAACCAGTATCTCATGGAGGATCAGGGCAGGGTGGTTATATTTCTTGAGGACCCCAGAGAGCTAGGGAAAGCGTGGGCTAAGACACAGCGCCAAAAACCCAGCCGCCTAGCAGGACAAAGCGCTTACCTCATCCGCAAGCTGGGGTGGCGATTCTCTTGGAAAAGCCGCTCCAGATCCTGCAGCTGAGACAGGGTGAATCTGGTGCGGCGCTTGACAGGCAGCCTTTCCCCAGTCTGGGGACTCTGGGTGCCCTCAGGCATTGCCGCCGCCTCTTGCTGAGGCTGCTCTTGATCCACGCTGGCGCCATGGCCACCTTCCTCATGGACTGGGTTGTCCACGGGGCCAGCACTACCAGCGCCAGCCTGTCCTCCTCCCATTTCTTTTTCTTGGATTTCTCCCTTCTCTCCCTCTTCTGTGGCTTCCTGAGCGAGACTGCACTGAGCAGGCTCTTCTTGAGCAAGCTTGCCTTCAGCAAGTTCGCCCGGAGCAACTTCGCCCCCATCAAGCTCCCCCTGAGCGGGCCCGCTCTGCTCAAGCCCTTTCTCGCCTCTTTCCTCTCCAGCCTTCAAGACCATTGCATTCCCACCTGAAAGAGAGAAAAATCACAAAGATAAAGGTCTGAGCATCGCGGTCCAGGGACCATTGGAAGGCCTGGAGAGGAGCCACAGGCAGAGCTGGGTAACCGAAGCCCATGGCCACTGGCTTTTCCACCAGATTTCTTTCCTGGCCCCCGCCAGAATCCCGTCGGAACCAGTTTACTGACCATGCTGTTGTTCCTGGTCCCCATCAGCTCCCAGATCCTGCATCCCGTTGAAAATGTTGGAGCAGTCTTGGCGAGTCTCCATTCCGGGAATCTTTCGATCAGGCCGCAGTCCTGCAGACTCAAAAGCCGCCTCTCACAGGTCTGGCGCCAGACGAAATGAACTGCTCTGGCGCTTAACCCGGAAGGGCTGTCTTCTCGGGCCTCCACCAAATTACAGTGTGTCCAATCACACAATCTGTCCTGCCCAGGCTCAGTGGCGGTGGGTTTGTCCTCTGCCTAAGCAGAAGCGGTTTAGGGTTGCAAAGGACAGGAGGACATAAAAGGAAATTCAGCGAGTCTCGGTGGCGGGGATGCAGAACCTGTGACTCCAAGTTGCCTCTGGACTTTAAATTCCGACACAGGGTGCAAGTAACACAGAGATCTTCTCATGTTCAGCATGTCTTTGAACCCGTCTAAATCTTTTTAGAAAATTATGCAAATGTCATTCAACCAAAATGACAAAGACGCATCCCTTAATAAAGTGGCACGAATTAGACTCCATCATTTATGTGCCAAACAGTGGGTTGGCCAGGTGTACACACTCATTTTGGTCCCTACCTCAGTCTAATGTGATGGCAAATATGTGGGAAGGCCAGGCAAGAGCCTCCCGAGAGACTGTGTTCTCAAAGGGCTGAGTTCCAGCAGTGTTCCAAGTTCGTTCTGATGGAGATCTTTCTCTACCTAGCTGGGCTTGTCCCAAGGGCCTATGGTTACCCAAAGACATCTCTGGGCACCGTAAATCGGCCTTGGTCTCTGGCTCCAAACTCGTCTCACTGCCATGAAGTTTACAGATGGGAGGAGCAAGCAATTCTGATGCAGTCTATACAAAGTAGCATTGCAGGAGACAGGGAAATTGGGAAAAAGTTAGAGAAACTCCCCAGATAGGTGACATTATCCAAATTTAAAAAGGCCACCGAGCTCTGTCATTTAGTGGATTTTGTTTTTAAAGGAATCACAGCGGCAGCGATAGGTGACATTCCCGAAATTTAAACAGCCACTGAGCTCTGTCATTTAGTGGATTCTGTTTTTAAAGGATCACGGCGGCAGTGTCTGGCGAGTGCCTGGGGTAATTGTTAGGAGGCGGCTTAGTTCTCTGGGATAGCTTAGGCTGAGACACTGGATGCCCATGTCCGCATGGTCCGGCCCACACCGAGGAGATGATGTGCCTTGTTCATCTGGCTCTACCCCCCTCCCACCACATCCCCGCTGTTCATCCTTCACTTTGCCAGTTGTTGATCCTCGTCTGGTAGCCACCAGCCACTGGGTGCCCCTGCGCCCCCTGACATTTCCTACATCCCACATGCTTTTAATTTTCTTCTCTCTTCCTTCTCACAGCTCCCTAGAAGCAGCAGCAACTATTCCGCCTGCCCTGCTTTTCTTCCTGTTCTCTTGTCTCCAGCGTCTCTGTGAAAGGCTTTCCTGAAACACCGAAGAGGGAGGCTTTCTTAGAGACAGTGTTTACCTACTCTCTCAGTTAGCTGCTGTAGAAGCTAGGCTATATTAGGGGACAATAGTGCCACATGTGCTTGCTTGCTTGCTTTTCTTTTTTCTTTTTTTGACCCAAATTTGAAGTTATATTCATTAAATACTGACCAGGATGATAGACATTGTTCAGGCCTACACCTGAGATTCCCAGAGTATGGCGCAAAATTCCACCAGTCAGAGGGGTGCAGTGGCAAACCCCACTAGACGATGGGGGTCCACCTTTGTCCAATCAGGAGAAGCCTACTTCCCATTATCCTTCCCTGCGTATGAACCTCCCACCTACATGTGATCCAGACTTCCTGAGGAGTTAGGGCAACCAAACTTCCTCACAGAGGTAAAAACGCATAGCTTTTTATCTGACAGGAGCCCCCAGCATTCCAGCAGGTACTTTCTTGAAGGAATTGGTGCCTGGCTGGCCAGCCGACTCTCTGGCTGGGAGCCCTGCCCTTATCAGTGTGAGATAGTGTCGCTGTAGGACTGGGCTCCAGAGCCTCTCTTTCTCAATCTTAGTGCTCCTGATTTGGCTCTTTCAACCTCACCCTCCATCTTAGCCCTAACTTCGCTGCACCATATGCGAGCAACTTGCAAATGTGAACATGGGTGCTTTTTCTTCCCTACGGTCAGAAACCTAACTCGTGCCTCGATCCCAGCCTTGGATTCTGAGATTCATTCCCCAAGATGCTGCCCCCAGGGTTTGGGAGAAGCAGATAAGCAATCATGCATCCAGGGCGCCCCTGAGTCTGTTCATTTCATCCTCTTTCTGCAGAGTTCACAGGATCCCGGGTGTGTTCTTTTTTTTCTGGTAGTTTTCTCCCAGGGCTTAGCAAAGGAGTGAGGTGGGTGGATTTCACTCTCTCAACCGGGAGTCAGCACCCTGAAAGATGGGTGCTTGCTGTGTAACCCAGAGCAGCTGCCTAGTGCACTGTTGAGGAATGTAGGCTAGGACAGAGGCGACTTGAGCCAGGTCCTCAAAAGCTCATCTGTATATTTGGGCCTTGGTAAAGGTTGGTCCCATTTAAGTGTTTGGAGGGAGGCTGTGTTTGGGAGATTAAATTGGATCCTTGGGTCAGTAGAAGGCCATAATGGGACTAAGAGACAACATCATCAAGGAAGCAGAATCTGGATGCTATCCATCTGTCACAACAGAGGGTGAGTGGTAGATATTCCCTAGACCTCATAACTGCTCAGGTGAGGAGGTATGGAGGTCTCAGAGGTCCACAACCATAGACACATTCCTGTACAAAGTTTAACTCTTGGAGGACTACACTTTCTGGGTCCCTTGAGGACAGGCCTTTGCACCCCCACTTGATCTGTTTTGCACTCTTGTGGTTGGTTGAAAACAGGAACAACCTGTTGTTTTCAGCAATGTTTCTAAGGATATTTACCCCTAAGCCATTGAGTTACGGTGATGAGCTTCCTGTTTTTGCTGGTTCAGCCTCCCCTGCTCAGGGCTGTATATACTTTGTGAGAAAGTAGACTAAAGGTTTATCTGCAGAACCTGTAGTTGTGTTGTGTGTTAATCCTGACATCCCTTGCTCAGAAGAACTACAGTTGCCATGCTGGTGCGGTACCACTGACCCGACCCTGGCAGCTAATGTTGCATTTGCTGGTGTTCAGTTGGTCATGAGTTATTACAAACCTCAACAAATGAATATGGCTTGAAAAAATGAATGGATCTCTGTGTGTCTCTCTGTATCTGTTGGTCTTTCTCTGTCTTTGTTTTTCCTCTCTCTCCCTCTTCCCACATTCCCACCTCTCTCTCTCTCTCTTTCTCTCTCTCTCTCTCTCTCTCTCTCTCTCTCTCTCTCTCTCTCTGTGTGTGTGTGTGTGTGTGTGTGTGTGTTCTCTTCTTCTGGGAACATAGAGCATCATGTTGGAACAAATGAACAAGATCCTGGGTGAGGAGGAGCTTGGTGGTGGTGAGTCCTCTGAATCTCTTTATCTTCCCATTCATGACAACCCAGCCTTTGGTCTAGTTTCCCAGTCCGAGTCTACAGGGTATGGTAACTAGTTGTTGGGGAGCCTGGGGAAGGAGTGTTAAAGCTTATCCCCACAAGAATTCATAGCGTGCTGGGAGATGTCCACCTGCCATGGAGAGTGGGATTGCTCAAGGTCTGTGGAGTGGAGGTCAGTCCATGGTGCCACTCTGACATCTTTGACGTGGGTTGCGGGTACAAGATGAAGGGTCACATCTTGGCTTAGGAGGCTCCCCATTTCTCTTGTTCATATGCTGTGACAAAGTAGGTGCAGGTGGCACAGCTTTGCTCTTCTGTTTAAGCCATGGATTCTTGTACCGCAGGGATTTGCGGTTGAGAGTCCCACAACAGGGTCTCAATCCCTCTGAGTGTTAATCAGCAGGACTCCTTTATGGGAAGACCCATGTATACTTTACCTCTGTTGGGGGCTCTACCATGCCGCCTTTCCAGCATGTATCTGTTTAAGTAAGTTTCTACTCTATTGCATGTATCTATTTTAGTAAGTTTCTACTCTATTAGGTTTCTATACTACCCCCCAAATGCGTTTTGGCTTTCTCCCCTCCCCTCCCCCACTTGATCCTCCCATTGCAGCCCTTATCCATAAATATTTGTTTTAGTTCCTTTTCCTAACAAGGTTTATATGTTCCCTCTAGTCCTTTATTCTACACTCACATTCTTGGCAGAGAAAATGAACCCATTACTGTACTCCTAGACAACATTGCCGCAGCCAGAGCAGCCTGGATAGCCAAGATTGGGGGGGGGGTGCCGGGATTGAGACACGGAGCCTTTTTTTCAGGTGGAAGGACAGCAACCTTTATTTTGCCCAGCAACATTTTATACCTCTACTCCTTCTGTGGAGACCCACCAGCCAGAAAGAACACAAACATCCTTGTCAATTACAGACCACAAGGAAGTTCCCTGGCCGGTCAGAGGGAGTGAGGGTAGCTGGATCACAACAAGCATCATTTGAAAGGTTTCATCCAGGACTCCATTCTTCGTTGTTAGCTTCATCTTGCGGTAAGAGAGCTGTGTGGCTTATGACTGGAAGGGAAACAGGAACCTTTATGCTAGGCTCTCATCATTTTTAGAGACGAGTTGCTTACTGAAGCCAGGACAACAAAAAAATATTCCCTTGCATGGGAGGTTGACCCCCTCATGAATGAGGATGCCAAAAATATCTTAGGCATAAGCAGAAGCATCAGGGACTGTGACTACAGGCTGTAGAAAAGCATGCATTAGTTACCTGGAAACCACTCTCTGAGGAGAGCTACCCTATCACAGCAGCATCCCCTTCCGATAGAAGGCTGGAAGTGAGGAGGTGGTTACTCACCTCCTCCTGAAGCTCTCTTACGTTGATTTCATTTTAAGTTGGTCCAGGATTTCTGCTGGCACTATGCTATCCTGCCTGTTGAAGAGGTGGAGCAAATTGATCCCACAGAACCCCAGGGGAGAGGGTTTCGTGTGTGTGTGTGTGTGTGTGTGTGTGTGTGTGTGTGTGTGTGTGTGTTGAGACAGGGTTTCTCTGTGTCACAGCTCTGGCAGCTCTGGCTGTCCTAGAACTCACTCTATAGACCAGGCTGGCTTTGAACTTCCAGAGATCCATCTGCC